GTATTTTAGATATAAATAGTTTTATCTAATAAATTCATACCAACGGGGACGGAGATGAACCTTTATTTCCCTTGATCACTTTCTCAATTACACGACCAATTTGAATAAAAAAATATATGCCGAACACCTTTTCTAGTTACATGAACATTCTTTTGGAAATGCATCAAACACTTTCTTACATTACACGGACATTTGAAAATAAATCAAACACTTTTCAGTTACATGAAGATTTTTCTAAAACTATTCATGAATATTTTCTTATATTGCGTGAACATTAAAAAATGAATTGAACATATTTAATTGCGTGAACAGTGTGCAAGGTTCGCTTGTGGAAGCAAATGTGTTTGCGGATGTGCTGAGAAGGAACCTCGACGTTCAGTTCTGGTGTTGCATACTGAACAAAGGGATAAGATTGGTTAAAAGAAACCTGTCCATATACGGCGTGCACCCAACCCTGCTTATAGAGCAAGGCCATCCAGTGGACATAACGGACCTCGCCTCTCATCCACTTAGCATGATACCGTATAAAATCAAGGAGGAATCGCCAAGCGTGTCGTTAGGGGCACTTGTAGCAGACCCTAGCGTCAGACTGGAAGGCGACTTCACCCTGGTCGCGTGGGAATCAAGGATACCCCCTCATAAATCATTTGTTCATTATGTCAGACCCTGCGCTGAAGCCGCCATACCACCAATGGATCTGAAACCTCCCATCGGGTATGATATTGGATTAGTTTACATAGGGTTTAGCCCCAGCTATTGGGGGGAGCGGCGACGTGTTCTTCTAGTTTTCTTAAACACAGTGCATAGTAACATACACTAGTAACATACACGTTGGACTATGTTGCTACCTTCATAGTGGGTAGTAACATAAATGTGGTGTCATGCAAAGCTTCATTTATTAGGTTATAGACTCATAGTGCATTGGGACATGTGTTGTTACGGTAACTAGCTAAATTACCCTTAACTCATTGCCACATAAGCAAATTTGTTTAGTTGAACTTGATGTTACTGCTGAAGTTACTCCCACTGTGGCTAGTCTAAGACATAAATAATTCATTTTTTCCAGGAAGAGATATAGACAATTCTTGGAGGATTTGCCAAACCCGTATATAATAAGATATTGTCACATTTTGTTGTACACCTTCTAGCTCATCATCTAGTTATAGCTCCTTGTTTGCCATGTCTTGTCATCCAATAAAAGTTAAAAAAAGATCATTATCTCCAGGTATAAACATAGTTTTTTTAATATGAGGTATAGTATTTTTTTACATGAGGTATACACATAGCTTCTCTATAATGCCCTAGACCACGTACCCCATTTCTCCAGTAGTATGATTAGGGACCTTGGATTTCCTTTCTACCGGTAGCTTTATTTTTTTCCATTTTATTAGTAGCTTATTATAAGATTCCCTACAGGCATATATACCAGAGGTACATAGCAGCTAGGTCCATTGACTTGTGGACTAACCAGCGTTGTAAAAAGTTTGAGCCGAATACGCCCCTCTGGCCTCTGGTTCTCACATGTAAATCGAAACTGCTCTGTAGACGACACTGCATACACGACATCCAGCCGACACTGTATCCAACGGTGGACCTGTACTGCTGCTGGCCACTGCATGGTGTGATCTTGTGCATCGTCTTCAAATCGTCTGGATATCGTCGTGTGTATACCAGGGCTCCTCCAACTTTTATCTTTTTTTTTTTTTGAGGGATCCTCCAACTTTTATCTAGCCACATATACACGCGCAGATAGTGCAAGTGTATTTTTCCCTGAACGGATTCTGTGCGTCCACTCCGAAAACAAGCACATAAGACACTGTTCGGGCCTCGTTGGCACAATACCTCCCCCTGGGCCGCGCGGCCCTCTTTGAGGTCGTCATCCTGTTCGGTTTTGGGCCGAAATGCCGAGCCGCTTCTGGCCCATTTGAGAGCTGCTCATGCTTCTGTGATTGCTCTGGCCCCTATTGATCACAGCGACAAAACAATTTCAACTGGGAAGAAAATTCCCAGTTTTGCAGAGGAAACAAAACCAGGTCAATAAAACTAATAAACCAGCACAAAAATGAGATACACGGGAACGGACCGGGCTCTAAAGAATCCAAAGAAGTCAGGCATGGAATTGCCGCGGTCCTCGTCTCCCACCAGTTTCTTTGCCAAAAACGAGTGGCGCCCTGCTTCTCCGGTCAAGCTCATCCGGAAATTTCCACGGTCGAAATTTGCTCGAGTGGGGTCACACAGAATTAAATGGTCAGTTGTTGGGGGCATGCCATTTTCTACAATATGCTTCTGAAGAAAACAACAGCAAATCAGTAATTGATGGTCGTTTGTTTCTTGTCACACAACTCAGTCTCCCACGCAAAACTAATAATCAGTCTCACCAGATTTTGAGTTATGCTGCATTGACGGGCTAGTTATATTCGAGGAAAAATTCAGTATAACCGAGCCAAAAGACTCTTGCGCGCATGGAATTGAACTGAATTTAGTCGAGTTTGAGTTTTTCTTTTTTGAGGAAAAGTCCAGTTTTAGTTGTGATAATGCTTCAGCCCAAAGCCGATCTAGAATCTCAATTTTCCAAGCCCACTTGAACCCATTAAGATCACTTGCAGATGGGCCAGCTTGCTGCCATGCAAAGTATGCATATTTGTCCTTTTTCTTCAAGATGCAACAAAACTGAGATAGAATCAACTGTACTAAAAGTTTGCGAATTAAGAAGTGCTCATGAATTTAAAAAAAATACTTCACGAATTTTAAAAAATCCACACATTTTTTAAAGAAATCATGATTTTGGACAAAAAAGTTCGCAAATTACAAATGTGTTCATGGATTTTTTCAAAAATGAAAAGGAAAAGAAATAAAAAATGGAAGAAAAACCAAAAAATCGCCTGGAACTTTCTAAAAACTTCAGAAAATCAGATGGAAGAATTGCGCCAAATAGGATATTCCACTGATTACAGAGACAAAATCAATTTCAACTAGGAAGAAAACTCCGACTTTTGCACAGGAAACAAAACTAGGTCAACTAAACCAAACCAGCACAAAAATAAGCCACATGGGGACCGACTGACGTACTGACCGGGTTTTGAAGAAACCAAAGGGGTCAAGCATGGACTTGCGGTTCTAATCATCCTGCGCCACAACTCGCATCGTCTCCAACCAGTTTCTTTGCCAAAAACGAGTGGCGCCTTGCTTCTCCGGTCAAGCTCGTCTAGAAAAATCCCAAGAAATTCCGCGGTCAGAATTTGCTAGAGTAGAGCACGCATGGTTGAATAAAAAGATCGAACGAAAGACAGGCCTAATGATAATTACATATATGCAATTTCCTATGTAACCATAATTAATGTGGTTTGGACAAGTTGGCTTGTCCTTGTCACCTGTTTGGACGTTTAGAAAATTATCTGTTCGTGACGGTAGAAGTTGCGAAAAGAACCCAAACAAAGGGGTCAAGAGAAATGCAATATGAACGAAGTATACTAGGAATAATAATCTAAGCTATCACCGACGACCAGGAGTCATGTTCTGATTGCCTGGACGTAGCTATCTCATTTTGTGACATTTTACTATATACCCGTATTTTGGTCACTTTCCTGGAACTACAAAGATCCCAGTAGCTAGCTTTTGGATCTATACTTTTTAACTCCATATTCCATAAGCACCACAAGCGTCCACTTCAACGGGTAGATGGGTACATACCTGCACAACTTGTGGACTAATCCATGATAATGGCGTTGCCATGATTAATACTATACATACATACATACATATCTGCAAAAAAAAAAGGTCTAACTGTATCAGGATCAGGTTACGCTGCATGGATGGGCTAGTTATATTCAAGGCAAAATTCAGTATAACCTAGCCAAAGACTCTCCTGCACGCATAGAATAAAACTGGGTTTAGTCGAGTTTTGATTGTGATGATGCTCCATAGTCGAACAATTTGATAAGACCATTCCAACAAACACACGTTAAGAAATACAAAAGGCAGTTTTGAGGGTCCGAAAGCTCAGCTGGGTGGGACTTTTTCAGCCTAAAACCGATCTAGAATCTCAATTTTCCGAGCCCACTCGAACCCATTAAGATCATTTGCAGATGGACCAGCTTGCTGCCCTGCCATGCAAAGTAGTCCTTTTTTTTTTCAAGACGTAACAGAACTGAGATAGAATCAACTGTACTAAAAGTTTACCAAATTAAAAAGTGCTCATGAATATGAAAAATCTTACATATTTTTTTAAGAAAACACGATTTTAAAAAAAACCCTGGAAATTACAAATATGTTCTTGGATTTTTTAAATAAAAATAAAAGAAAGAAAAAACAAACAGGAGAAAGAAAAGAAAAACCGGAAGAAAAAAAAAGGAGCCTGAAACATTCTAGAAACCTCACAAAACCGGATTTGCCAAATAGGAACAAAACCAGGTCAACTAAACTAAACCAGCACAAAAATAAGCCACACGGGGACTGACTGACTGACTGACCGGGATCTGAAGAAACCAAAGGAGTCAGACGAGTCAGACATGGAGTCGCGGTTCTCGTCATCGTTCACCATGCCGTGTAACATCTCCCGCAAAAAAAAAAAAACACATCTCCCACAACTTTCTTTGCCAGAAAAAAAAAACGAGTGGCGCTCTGCGTCTCCAGTCAAGCTCATCTAGAAAATTCCCAAGAAATTCCATGGTCAGAATTTGCTAGAGTAGAGCACACATAACTGAATCAAAAAATCCAACGAAGGACGAGCAGACAGATAATTAGATATGTACAATTTCTTATGTAACAAAAATTAATGTGGCTTGGACAAGTTGGCTTCTCCTTGTCACGCGTTTGGACGTTTAGAAAAATATCACTGCGCACAACCACTCAAGTCCCAGTCAACAGTCGCGTAGTCATCCCTGAAGAATTTTCACCATTTTTCCAAGAGTCTGTGCAAGACTTGGCAAGAGGCCAGCCTAGTTAAATTAGTCCAGTGGCCGACCAGCACGCTTACCTCATCAATCCTTCCTTCCTTGCCCATGGAGGTTGCCATGTCCGCAGTTGCAGGCGAACTTGTCAGCCGGTTCATCTCCTTGCTGATGAGCAAGTACCACTCCTCCATCCACGCGCAATCAAAGGAGCAGAATCTGGCGAAGCGGTTGCGGCATCTCCTGATGCGCGTTGGCACTGTCGTCGAGGAGGCGGACGTGCGGTACATAACCAACTCCGGGATGCTGGCCCAGCTCAAGATGCTCTCCGAGGCCATGTATGAAGGGTACCGTGTGCTGGACACCTTGATGTACCGCGCCCTCCGAAACAGCGCGGGCTTCGATGAGGTTAGCAGCAATGACTCATTCAACAGCCACTTGTGTTTAATCAAGCGTTCTCGGAGGATGGCCAACGGGGCCACATGCCTCGAGTCGGATGATGCCTTGGAAAGCTTAGAAGCTGCTGCTGCTAACATGGCAGAATTTGTTATGCTTTTGGGTGGTTGTGAGCGCATGTCACGTAGGCCTTATGACACTTACCTTTACACCGACAACTTCATGTTCAGCCGACATGCTGAGAAGCAGAAGCTCTTGAGCTTCTTGTTGCAGCACAACGACCCTCCTGGTGGTGATCAGGCAACGACCGTCCTTCCGATCATAGGGGGCGCCAAAGTCGGGAAAAAAACTTTGGTTGCTCATGCATGTGGCGATGAAAGAGTTCGCGCACGCTTTTCTTCTGTTTTGCACTTGAATGGTGATGGCCTTTTGAGGCATGGAAGGACCAAGTTTGGGATGAAGATGTTGGTAGTTATTGAGTTTGCTTCTGATGTAGGTGATGATGACTGGAAAAGGTTTCACTCATTGGTCACAAGAATGGGCAGAGGAAGCAAGATCGTCATTGTAAGTAGACTTCAAAGATTAGCCCGATTTGGATCGGTGAAACCGATTATCCTAGGTGCTATGTCTTACGACGAGTTGACATACCTTTTCAAAACACTATCCTTCGGGAGCGAGGACCCCGCAGAACATCCACAACTAGTACAAATAGCAGATGAATTTGCCAAGAGGTTCCACGGTACAGAAGGTTCACTTATCGCCACAAATGCGTATGCAGATGTGCTGAGAAGGAATTTGGATGTTAAGTTTTGGCGTTGCATATTGGACAAGGGGATGAGAATGGTTAAAAGAAACCTTGCCATTTATGGCATGCACCCGAACACGCTTATGTACCATGGTCACCCAGTGGACATAACGGACTTTGCTCTACATCCACTTAGCATGACACCTTATAGTGCTAGTTTTTCAGTCAAGAAGGAATCACCAAGTGTGACATTTGGGGATCTTATAACAAATCCTAGTGTTAGACCCAAAGGAGACTTCACTCTAATTGTATGGGAATCAAGGATACCCCCTCATAAATCATTTCCTAATTTTGTTACAAGTTGTGCTCAGGATACACATCAAGGTAGCGCCTTTCCAGGAAGAAAGCGACAAGGAGTGCCAATCTAATTTTCTTTTCGGGAACTTGTGTAATGAAACTCTTGTACTTTTAGATACATGACAGATGTATGTGTTATAGACCATTCAACTAAATGTGTTAGAGATTTCAATGTTGTATGTTCTACCATCCACAATTCCCCTGCCTTGGGCAGGGGAGTAAGGGCGGCCGCTCTGGCCCCTGACCCATATTGTGCAGGCATAGTGTATATACCATTGCAATGGTTTATGTCCTGCCAAACTAGCAAAAATGAGCAGCCCACCGAGGGTCGAACATGCCATCTTGCCAGGGAGGAAGGAAGGAAGGGGGCACAAAAATGCCTTGTTAGGGAGGAAGTGACAAGGAGTGCCAATCTACTTTTTTTCAGAGCTCACATATTGCCATACTTGTACTTTTTGATAGATGAAAAACAGATGTGTTTGTGTGGCCATGGATAAACCATTTTAAAGAGTGGTCAACTCAATGTTCTGGAGATCCCAATAGAGAATAAAACTGTACTATCAGATCAAATGAATCCTGATCATTCACTTTCTAGATAACAAACATCATCTTGCACCATTGAACGAATCCTGATCCATATAGGAAGGTGAGAAAACTAATTGAAATAAGAAACGAATATTTGTTCAAGTGTGAAAGAAAGAGAATTGTGGAAGCGTATGCTGTTCGGCAGGGACGCGTTCGTGTTATATAGAGACATCAGATTACAAGATAGGTTGCGCAGGTTGTTACTAGACTTGGCCTCTACTCCAAGCTATACAAAGATAAACCTATCCTAGCTAACAACCTGCCGCACCCAAGATTACATGTACGAGTACGTACCAATACGTGACAACATGTCACAAAATACTAGCCTATACATTTCCTACAAGCCTATCATTTAACATCCTCCCTCAATCTTAACTCATCAAGGTTTAGATTGTTCTTGAAGGCTTGAAACTGTCGAATTTGTAAAGGCTTGGTGAAACCATCAACAACTTGATCTCCTGTTGGAATGAACTGTATCTCTAATAGCTTATGTGCTACTCTTTCACGAACAAAGTGATAGTCAATTTCTATATGCTTTGTTCTGGCATGAAATACATGATTTGCAGAGAGATATGTTGCACCCAAGTTGTCACACCACAGTTGTGACACATGTGATCTTCTGATTCCTAGTTCATTAAGTAAAGTTTCAATCCACATTACCTCAGCAGTTGCATTTGCCAGAGACTTATATTCTGCTTCAGTACTGGAACGTGATACTGTTGCTTGTTTCTTAGCAGTCCAAGATATAAGATTAGACCCAAGAAAAATAGCAAAACCTCCAGTAGACCTTCTATCATCTGGACACCCTGCCCAATCCGCATCAGAGAATGCGCTTATTCCAGTTGATGGAGATCTACATAACTTGAGCCCTATTCCAGTACTTCCTTGAATATACCTTAGTATTCTTTTGATAGCTGTCCAATGTAAGGAGGTAGGAGCATGCAAAAATTGACAAACCTTATTTACTGCAAATGATATATCAGGTCTAGTCAAAGTTAAAAAGTGCACCAACTATGCTTCTGTACTTAGTTCCCTCTTCGGCGCTCAACACCTTCCCTTCATGCAATGACAACTTATCAGAGGTAGACATGGGTGTATTGGAAGGCTTACAATCCTTCATGCCTACCCGTTTAATTATGTCTCTGGCATACTTGTCCTGAGTTAACATAATACCATCATGCATTTTTTTAACTTCAATGCCTAGGAAATAATGTAACTCTCCCAAGTCTTTAAGTGCAAACTCACTTCTCAAATTCTTTAGCAGAGCTGAGGTAGCATCTTGTGATGAACTAGCAATGATTATATCATCAACATAAATTAACATAAAGATGATCACCTTCCCTTTCTTGAAGAAGAATAAAGAGGTATCTCCTTTTGAAGCTCGAAAACCTAGTTACTGCAGTTTCATACTCAATCTTGAATACCAGGCTCTGGGGGCCTGCTTTAGACCATACAAGGCCTTGTCCAACCTACATACATGATGTGGTTTCAAGCCATCCTCAAAACCAGGTGGCTGCCTCATATAAACCTCTTCCTCGAGAACGCCATGTAGAAACGCATTCTGGACATCCAATTTACGAAGACTCCAACCCCTAGAAATAGCAATAGACAGAACAAGTCTAATAGTAGCAGCTTTAACAACTGGACTAAATGTGTACTCATAATCAATACCATAACGTTGCTTAAAGCCTTTAGCCACTAGCCTAGCCTTGTATCTGTCTATTGTGCCATCAGGCTTTCTTTTAATCTTATATACCCACTTACAATCTATCACATTCCTCCCTTGCTTAGGAGAAACCAAGTGCCAAGTCTGATTTTTCATGAGAGCTTCATATTCTATATTCATAGCCTTTTTCCAATTATCATTGCTTAGTGCCTCTAGCAGATTTTGAGGTTCACCAGTGGAAGCAAAGTTTGCAAACTTGAAGTTTTTCTCATACCTGACTGTCCCATCTTTAAACTTTGATGGTTTCAAAATACCTTTTTGTGCACGTGTAGTCATCCGTAACTGTGCATGGTCATGTACTGAATTGCCAGCCACAGAGGATCTGAGCCCACCACCTCGTACCCGATCTGGCCGAGCAGAGGCGGGCAAATCTACCTCGACCGCCGCGCTCCTGACTGGGCTTGGATCCCGTGCGGGTGCACTGTGCGGCGCACTGCATGGGCCCAGGCTCTGTGCACGTGGGCCAGGCGACACACCATCCGCCCCATGTGACGACGAAGGTGTACCAGGCGCGCCGGGTCCGCCCGTGCGAGAGCCTGACGCGTGGCACGCGCCAGACGGAGGCGAGGGCGGGTCGGGTCCGCCCGACCAATCACCACCGGTCCCGCCCGACCGTGGACCAGGAGGCGCCAGGAGATCTTCCTGGGGATCCGCGGGCGCGTCAGTTGCCCCCCTGCCACCAAATCTCGCGAGATCAGCGGCCGCAGGTGCAGGCGAATCTGCTTCGTGTTCCGCACCAGGCGTTTCCTGTTGCTCCTGCTGCTGCATAAAATCATGACGATTTGGAGTGCTGTTTTTTTCACTGTTGTCTCCGTTAGGATTATTAAACAAATGATCATTAGCAATATGTTCACCCCCTTGATCAGTAGGATTTAATAAATCTGATGAAAGCAAAAGGATCTTAGCACGAAGACGAGCACCGGCATTAGGATGGAGTGTAGAGAAAGGAAATACGTTTTCATCAAACACAACATCCCTTGAAATATAAACATGCCCAGTGGAAATATCAAGGCATTTGAAGCCTTTGTGAAGGTTGCTATACCCGAGGAAAGCACACTACTTGGAGAGGAACTGAAGCTTGTGATCGTTGTAGGGTCGGAGGTTGGGCCAGCAGGCACACCCAAAAATTCTCAAGATAGAATAGTTGGGTTTTTCATGAAAAAGTCGTTCAAGGGGTGTTTCAAAGTTGATCACTTTGCTAGGCATCCGATTTATCAAGTAGGTTGCGGCAATGAAAGCTCCATCCCAAAACTTCAGAGGCATAGAAGCTTGAGCAAGGAGAGACAAACCTACTTCAACGATATGACGATGTTTCCTCTTAGCTGAACCATTCTGTTGGTGCGCGTGAGGGCAGGAGACATGGTGAGATATACCTATTTTGGTAAAGAAGGAGTTGAGTTTAACATACCCCCCTCCCCAATCTGTTTGGAGAGCAAGAATTTTGCGATCAAATTGTCGCTCTACAAGTTTCTGAAAATCATGAAACTTTTGAAACACCTCGGACTTGTGTTTGATAAGATAGATCCATGTAAATTTACCGAAATCATCTATGAAACTCACATAGTATTGCTTTCTTCCTACTGTTTCCACAGCAGGACCCCAAACATCAGAGAACACAAGCTCTAAAGGAAATTTTGATTCACTTATTGACTTTGGATAAGGAAGTTGGTGACTTTTGCCTTTTTGGCATGCGCCACATACAGACTCTTTATTGAAATGACTGGCACACGGCAGATTGTTTTGACTAATGACTTTGCTAACAATAACAGAAGAAGGATGCCCTAGACGTGGGTGCCACCTATCCGGAGATAGCTTGGTAGCACTTAGCACTTACTTCTTGACGTCGGTGCTCGTGTGCCTAATTGGGTAGAGACCTCTCCTACCCCTGCCTTGAAGTAGTACCTTCCTCGTTCCCCGATCCTTAACATAAAAAGAGTAAGGGTGAATTTCAACAAAGGAGTTGTTGTCAATGGCAAGACAGCTAGCAGAGATGAGACTTTTATTGGCTTCAGGTACATGAAGAATATTGTTCAAGTAGAGATCACGATCTAGGGTATGAATTGTTGAACGACCAATATGTTTAATATCCATACCTGATCCGCTTGCAGTATGTATCTGTTCATTGCCGTCGTAGCGATCACGCACGTTCAGCTTCTCCAGGTCACCCGTGATATGATCAGTAGCACCACTGTCAAGGTACCAATTGGTGTCTACGCCATACTGCGGGGCTACAAGATTGGCTGATTTCTCCTCCACACCTTGGTAGGACTCGTCATACCTTTTCCAGCACTTCCATGCCGGATGGCCCATCTTCCCGCAGATCTGGCATTGTACCCGAGGAGCAGAGGCATGGTTGTTGTAGTTGCCTCCGCTACCGCCTCCATTGTTGCCGCCGTGGCCACCACCGCCACGACCTCCTGGCTTGGAATAGCCACGGCCGCCGCGGTCACCACCATTGCAAGCTTGTCTGTGGCCGCGGTCACCACCTCCGCCGCCTTGCTTGCGGCCTCGTGTGGCACTGTTGGCGGAGGACTGCGACCTACCGCCACGAAGATTCAGCCTCGTCTCGAAGCTGAGCAGCTGCGAGAAAAGCTCAGCTGCAGTAACCGGCTCCACCCTGGAGCACATAGCAGAAACCACCGGATCGAAATCTTCATCGAGTCCGGCGAGGATATGGGAGACAATGTCTTCCTCGTCCACCCTCTTTCCCGCGGCGATCAGCTCATCGGTGAGGGTTCTGACTTTCCCAACGTAGTCGGTGATGGAGAGGTTGCCCTTCTGTAAGTTGGCGAGGGCGATGCGAACGTTGGTGGTCTGCGATCGAGTGCGAGATGCAAGCATCCCCTCGACCGTGTTCCAGAGCTCCGCGGAGGTGTGACAGGACGCAACCTGGATGGCTATCTCACGGGGAAGAGTCGTCAGGAGATAGGAGAAGACTTGTTGGTCTTGCGCATACCAGGTTTGGAAGGCAGGATTCGCCGCTTTCGTCGTGGTCTTGCCGTCGGCGGAGGCCACGTCGATCTGCATGGGCGGCGGCGGCTGCTCAACGTCGAGGTACTTCGCCATCTGGGCTCCCCGGATGGCGGAGAGCACGGTCGCTCGCCACAGGGCTTGCTTGCCCTTGGTAAGCTTCTCTGTGGCAGCGTGAGCGAATGGCGAGGAGAGGAAGGAACTTGAAGACGTCGCCATGGATGAGCTCGAGGATTGCTCTGATTACCATGAAAGAAAGAGAATTGTGGAAGCGTATGCTGTTCGGCAGGGACGCGTTCGTGTTATATAGAGACATCAGATTACAAGATAGGTTGCGCAGGTTGTTACTAGACTTGGCCTCTACTCCAAGCTATACAAAGATAAACCTATCCTAGCTAACAACTTGCCGCACCCAAGATTACATGTACGAGTACGTATCAATACGTGACAACATGTCATAAAATACTAGCCTATACATTTCCTACAAGCCTATCATTTAACAAAGTGTCGTCTATTTTAAGGACTCTGAAACTTCTGAACACTCAGAACACATTCGAGGGACTTCTAGCAGATCCAAGTGTTAGACTGGAAGGAGATTTTATTCTAACTTCATGGGAATCAATGATACCCCCTCATAAATCATTTGCTTGTTTTGTTACAAGTAATGCTCAGGATACACGTGAAGGTAGTGCCTTGCTGAGGATACAACCCTTGAAAGTGCAACGATTTTGGAAACAGGTCCGAACGGAAATTACCGATGAATCGATTTCAACGAACTCGGGGAGCACGCACCGTAGCATCGCACTGCAATGGCGAGGTTCCCGCGACAGCCCGTGAGGTGCTCCCAGTCGACCCAGCCAGGCACCTCCCTCTCCGCACTTGGAAGTCGGCGACCACCATGGCTCCGCACGAGGCGCGACTGGGATGCTACGTGCTGGGCGGCAGCGCAGCTCGCCGATGATCACCATGGTGGTTTGGGGAAGGATTCTCTTAGGCCTAATCATTCCCTAGGCCAAGCTTTTCTGCGCTTGGCATTAGAACCTGAAGACACCAAACCCAATAATAGCTATTTTTGAATTTTTGAAAAAAAGACTAATTTTGAAGTTAAATATTTTTGGGATATAAAATAAAGAAAAGCCTATTTTTTTAATAAATGACTAGATTTTATATATTTTGGGTTTCTTCCTGCCTTTGGAAAAAGAAAATCCAGAGGCCGGCCCAATTTGAAGCTAGTTAAGGAAACTCTGAAATAAGGAAAGAAATAGTGTTCAAGTGTTGTCTACTGAAGGACTCTGAAACTTCTGAACATACAGAACACACTCTAAATTTGGAAGCTGGCCAAAACAGGAGAAAATCATCATTCGCTTCACCGCCTTCACTCAAGATTCATCGATGGTTTAGGAGTCACCAAGTGAATCCAACGACATATTCTACTCGTCATTTACCATTTCCTTGTTGTCTTTAATTAGTTAGCTGTTTAAGGTTCTAATCTCAAGTGAAGTAACTACCAAGTGCCTAACCATTGTGGGAGTATAAAGCCCCAGCTTGGGTGGATGAAATGCAAAAGGAATTAACCTTTCCTTTTTGCGAATATTGACGTATTTGCACTAGAAGTAGCCTTATTTCCCTTCCTCATCCCAGATCCACCATGTCGCAACGGAAATTTAGCGGCATGTACATGTAGCTTCGGGGGTATATTTTGATTTTGGCTGCATGACAACTTAGCAGATATGGTCATATGTAGTCAATATTTCGCTCGGAAAGTACATAGCTTCTTAACACACTACTACAAAGGAACGCAAGATGGTAAAATGTTGGCCTTAAATTGTTTGCACGTATATCTGCTAAACAAAGGTGATTGAAAAGACTAAAAGCAAGAATGGATGCAGACAAAATGAATCAGAAAATAAAATAACATGATAACACAGAAAGAAGTTTTAAAAAGGAAGAGATTCATGAGGCGGAAAAAAAAATTAAGCTCACCTCTCTGCTGGTTCTGGAAGATGAGGATGCACTAGTCTTCATGAGTGATCTGCTGGATGTCTCCATGGAGGATATGGGAGATGAGGTCCCAGTCTTGCCATTCTCTAGTACATATAAGATGTAAAACGAGTCCAACGAAAGACAAATGTAAGATGATTAAATATACATTTTTTCTACGGAATAACAATTAAGCTGGACATACCTACCGCTTAAATGAAAAATACTAGCCAATTTTGTCATGTTGCTTGGACACTTGGCTAGTCCTTGTCACATATATGGACGTTAAGACAATTAAGTGCATGTGTGACCACACACCCTTGAACTTGTCAGTCAATGGTTCCATGTTGTTTTATGTGCTCGAACTACAATATTCATTTCTATCTCTAGCATCCAGCATTTATCCATTCGAAAACATTTCTCATGTTCAGATTTGTATATTTTTTCTCAACAGATTTGTACTCTAGTATATGACATCAAATTTATATATATTATAGCATATTTTCAAACAAACAATAGTATAAGGAGTACTAGTAAAAACGGTCACCTCTATTGCAAAGCAGGTTAAGGTCGACGATTTGGTAACCCTGGCTGCATAGGAAGCTTAATGATAAAACCATCATATTCTGCCCTACATCATCCTGCTCGTCATCTCAGCTCCCTGTTCTGTTTGTCGTGTTTTGTCATCGAGGACAAAAGTCAAGACAAGCCATCATATCTAAGCTATAGCACCAGTAGAATGAAGTTGACACCTTTGATTCTCATTTTACTACTAGCTTATAAGATTTCCCTAGATGCACACCAGAGGTAGTAGCCACACCTCTCGACCTTTTGAATTGATGCGTGTTGATAAGTTTGAGCCAAATATGGAACTCTGAGAGTACTCCCTATTGTTCTAAAACGTAAATCTCTTCAGCACATCGACACGCAGAAAATTCTATGCTAATAAATGTATGATCAACAACCACAAGAAGCCACAGGGTAGAGAGAAAGAACGAGTGCCACCGTTAAAGTGGAACCGTGGAACTCAACATTTATCTAGTGGTGTGAGTGTACCATTTCTCTTCTGGATTTTTGTTTGTCCGCTCTGAAAACAATCATGAAAACCATTGTTTGTGCCATGTCCGTTCGAGGTCCTTCTGTTAGATTTGGGCCAAATGATGACGCAGTTTTTGTCCATTCCGGAGTGTCCCATTCTTTGGTAATTGCTCGGACTATACTTAATCATTACAGGGAGTCTAGTTGGAAGAATACTCCTAGTTTTAGTATGAAACAAAAAGATGTTATCATCCAGGTTGCATCATACTATTTTTGTTTTCCATGTTTACCATTGTGGAGATCTGTATCAGGTCAAGACTTAACAGACTGAACTCTGAAGAATCACAGGGTGCAACAGTTTTTGATTCAAGACTGAACACGCTTCATGATTAGGTTCTGAAGAACCAAGGAAGTGAATATACAAGAGAATTGTTTCCATACCAAAGTAGTGAATTGTATTTCTCATTACTGACCAAGATAAAGTGTGCATCATTCCTTACCAATGAGTTGCAATCAGGATGGTCGCTTCCGGACGTGAATTTGTTTTCTTGAATGTTATGAGAGACAGTCCAAATGTCAAATTTGTACAAGTATCCAATACCTGCATGAATCTGAAAAACAAATGTGTACACATATCATATATAAGTTTATCTTACAGCAAGATTCATTTTGAATGATTTTTTTTCGGACTAGTGTCCAATACCTGCAACAATCTGAAAGAAGTTCACCCTTCCCAAAAAGGCCAAATAAAGCCTAGGCAGTAAGATATCTTCAAAACTCAGACGTTCAGACATGGTTAAGAGTGTTGCTGACTATATGTTGGTGCCACATGTGAGTGACCATGATTTTCATTTTTTATTTACTTTTATTATATACAGCTACTCCCTCTGTAACAAAATATAGGACGTTTTTTTTGTTTCACGTACAATTGTTAAACACCCATTACATTTTGTTACAGAGAGAGTACAATATTGCAACAGAAATGCAACATAACATCACACTTTCAAACTTGGTTAGAGATGGTAGAGTGCACATATATATATGGGTTGCCATGTAAAATGTGAAAGGATGAAGTCCAATGCAAGATAATATACATTTTTTTATTGGAACAATAGTTAATGTTGGACCTACCATGAGTAATAGAAATACTGGTTTATGTTTTCATACTGCTTGGACAGTTCGCTTGTCCTTGTCAACATGTTTGGACGTTTAGACAATTGAGTGCCCATGTGATCACACACCCTTGAACTCGTCGTAGTTGATATTGTAGTCATCGCTACAAACTTTTCTATATTTTGAAGTCACTGTAAGAGTTTGCAGAGGCTTCGGTAAAATCATAAAGTGTTGGCAGAGGCCAGTTAATTTGTCCAGAGAGAAGGATTCTCCCATCAATCCATGGAGGTTGCCATATCTGCAGTTACAGGTGAACTTTTGAGCAGGTTCATCTCCTTCCTGACGAACAAGTATCGCTCCTCCTTAAGCCATGCACACTCAGAGGAGCAAAAGAAGATGGTGGAGAGGTTGCATCATCTCCTGATGAGGGCTGGCACCATCGTTGAGGAGGCAGACGCGCGGTACATAACCAACTCTGGAATGATGACACAACTCAAGAATCTCTCAGAGGCCATGTACCGAGGATGCCGCGTGCTGGACACCTTGAGGTACCGAACCCTCCAAGACAGTGGAAGCTTCGACGAGGTTAGCAACGACTCATCCATCAACTGCTTGTATTTAGCCAAGCGTTCTCGAACAACTGGCAAGGCCGTGCACCTCGAGTCACATGATACCTTGGAAAGCTTAGAAATTGTTGTTGCTAACATGGCAGAATTTGTTGTGCTTCTGGGTGGATGCGAGCGCATGTCTCGTAGGCCATATGACGTTTATCTTTACACCGAAAACTTCATGTTCGGCCGACATGCTGAGAAGCAGAAGCTCTTGAGCTTCTTGCTGCAGCACAGTGACCCTCATGGTGATCATGCACCGGCCATTCTTCCAGTCATAGGTGGTGCTTCGGTAGGAAAGAAAACTTTGGTTGCTCATGTGTGTAGCGACGAAAGGGTTCACTCACGCTTCTCCTCCATTTTGCACTTGAATGGAGACAACTTTATGAGGATACTTGACAACGGAAGGAGCATGTTTGGGATGGTGTTGGTGGTTATTACGTTTGCTTCTGATATAGGAGACGATGATTGGAAAATGTTTCACTCCATTGTCATAAAAATGGGCAGAGGAAGCAAGGTCATCATCATAAGTAGACTTCAAAGGGTAGCTCGATTTGGATCGTTGAAACCGATTTTCTAACTGTTCTGTCTTATGACGAGTTGAGGTACCTTTTCAAGACACTAGTATTTGGAAGTGTAGACCCCATGCAACATCCACGGCTCGTAGAAATAGCAGATGGATATGCCAAGGTGTTGCACAGTACACAAGGTTCACTTGTCGCAACAAATATGTTCGCAGATGTGTTGAGAGGGAACCTCAATGTTCATTTCTGGCGTGGTATATTAGAAAGGGGGGGTATGAATGGTTAAAAGAAACCTCTCCAGATACGGTGTGCACCCAACCATCCTTATAGAACAAGGCCATCCGGTGGACATAACGGACTTTGCTTTGCATCCACTTAGCATGACACGTTATACAGTTAATGTTTCAACCAAGAAGGAATTGCCAAGCGTGACATTTGGCCAATTGATAACAGATCCTAGTGTTAGACCGAAAGAAGACTTCATTTTAATTTCATGGGAATCAAGGATACCCCCTCATAACTCGTTTGCTCGTTTTGTTACAAGTCATGCTCAGGATACACATGAAGGGCCAGGGAGGAAGCGACGAGGAGTGCCTATGTAATTTTGTTTCTGAGCTCGCATAATGTAACCCATGATGTACTGTCTGATGCTTGAAAATAAGATGTGTTTGTGTGGCCATGGACAAACCATTTTAAAGAGTGATTATATACCATTAAACTAAATGTGTTGGAGATCTCAATTGTAAATAAAACTATACTATCAGATCCAACGACCCCCACCCCCCCTACACTTTCCAGATAACAAAAAACGTCATCTTACACCATGGAATGAATCCTAATCCATATAGGAAGGTGAGAAAACTTAACTGAAATAAGAAGGGAATATTCAAGTGTTGTCTATTTTAAGGACTCTGAAACTTCTGAACATTCAGAACACACTTTAATTTGAAGGTGGCCAAAACAGGATAAAAGCATCATTGCTTCACCGCCTTCACTCAAGGTTCACTTGATTCTACTCAAAGTTCAGGAGTGACTAAATGTATCCAACGGCATGATTCTACTTGTCATTTACCATTTCCTTGTTGTGTCTAGTTTGCTGTTTAAGCCAGTTTTAGCTGCTAATCTTAGCTGAACTAACTGAGAAGTGCCTAATGTGACCGCTGCGGAAGTATATAGCCCCAGCTAATCTTTGGCAGAGAATTCATTTCGGGCCACTCGGTCCTCCTTGAGGCCTTCCTGTTCGATTTTGGGCCACAGTGATAGCGTTTTTTCAATAAATTTTAGACTATCTCATGCTTCGGTAATTTTTCTGACCGTACTCGGTACATGGAGCAAATACACAGGAGGTAGAAAACAATTTCCTGTAGGACTACTTTTAGTTTTTTTAATAAAAAAACAAGTTGGATACCAGTATTTGCTTTTCCATTTTTACCGAAAAAGTCTTTCGCCCCGCTTTATATATAAAGCAAAGATCAACATCATCCGGAACAAACGCACGCCAACACCACACACACAAGGCAGGATACAAAAGCATTGAGCGCAACAACACCATCCCTAGCACACTACCACGAAGAGATGAAGCCGCATACAACGAACCGTGGACTCCAAGACGGCGCCTTGAGGAAGGATACGACACTGGAGCGTCGCCACCGCCCGATCCGAGGATCAGAGTTTCCCCTGGAGCCGCATGACGGGCGGTGAGAGCCGCGACGACGCCTTCAAGAAGGGAACGAGTATCGGCGTCGCCGGTCCATCCGAAGATAGAGCAGGTTTTCACCCCAGCCAACACTCACCGCCACCGAATGCTACACCCCGGCTACCACGCCGCCCACGCGGCCATGGCCACTGGGCAGCGCCAAGACACGGGCTCTGCCCAAGCACCATGCTACCGCCACCAGGGCCGCCGCCCCGGCATCCAAGACCTTGACACCACCGCATCCGAGACTCACCGCTACCCGAACCAAAGAGATGAGCGGAAAAGGTCCCGTTTTTGCACCCCTGGTCCACCCCCAGCGTCGAGACCCAATAGGTCGGCAAGCACTGGCATCCATCGACCCATCCTGCAGCCCGGAGTGCGAGATGAGTTTGGTCCTGCAGCACCGTGGGGGGGACGAGGTCAGTCCTGCTGCACCATGCGTGAAACAAGCTCGGTCCTGCGGCACTGTGTGCGAGACGAGCTCGGTCTTGATGCACCGGGCGCGAGACGAGCGATGGACCGCAGCTGGGAAAGGGCCTACCCTTCAAAGGGAGTAGCGACCGGGTACCGAGGAGATGGGGTGAAGGCCGAAACGGTCCGATCGCAGACAAGCCGATGCCGGAGAAGCCGGCCGCCGCCGCAGGCAGATCTGCCAAGCCACCATGAAGCAGCCACGATACTGGGAGTCCACCACCCCGGACCTCCACACGTCGCCGCCCACGGCTGTAGCAACGGTCATGCCTGGCTGCTGCCATACCCGCGTCGCCCGGTGAGCTCCTAGCGCCGGAGCCGCCGGGCACGCGCCACCGCCACCACGCGCCATCGTCCGACCCCCACCGCCAGATCCGGCCGGATCCAGCAGGAGGCCGACCGCGCGCCACCTCCCGAGACAGGAGCGCTGCAACTGCCCCGCCGCGTGCAAGATCCAGGGCGCCGGCGCGCCACCACCAGCCGGCCGCCCCGCGAGTCCACTGCTGAGCCGCTGAACCCACGATGTCCAGCGCCGCCGTTCGAGGAGGCTGCCTCGCGCCGGCGTCCCACGAGCAGGAGGGAGAAGGGCCCCGCCACCGCCGCGCCGGCATCC